GTTTAGGGTTTAGGGTTTAGGGTTTAGGGTTTAGGGTTTAGGGGTTAGGGGTTAGGGTTTAGGGGTTAGGGCTGTTGAGGGCTCTTGAGGGCTTTTAAGGGTTCTTAGGGGTCTTGAAGTGCCTTTTACGGGCTTTTCGGGCTTCCGAGGCTAGCGGCTTGAGGGCTTAGGGTAAACCAGGGATTGAAGGCTTTAGGGCTTTAGGGTTCAGGGATTAGGGTTTGGGGTGTAGGCTTCGGGTTTAGGGTTAGGGTGAGGAATGGGCTTCAAGGTATTTGGGTCCTCAGTTGCGTTCAGGCCTTGGGGCTTTCGGGCTTGAGGGCTTGGCAAAAGATGCCCTTGAATCCCCCCCCCCCAAACCAACGAAAAACTCTCTCAAGCCAATAAAGCACACCGGATTGAGGGTTTAGGGTTTACAGTTTGAGGTTTAGGGTTTAGGGTTTAGGGTTTAGGGTTTTAAGGTTTTAAGGTTTAGGTTTAGGAGTTTAGGAGTTTAGGGCTTCCTCTTGGAGCTGCCTTTTCTGGGAAAGGAGCTCTCGAGTTCTTCGCGTTAGGGTTCGGGGTTTGGGTCTTTGGGTTCTTGGGTCTTTGGGTTTTTGCGTTTTCGGGTTCAGGGTTCAGGGTTCAGGGTTTAGGGCTTAAGGACAAAGTTGATTGGGCTCTAAACGCTAAACCCTAAACCCTTGAGCCCTGAACCTCCCTGAACCTCCCTGAACCTCCCTGAACCTCCCTGAACCTCCCTGAACCTCCCTGAACCTCCCTGAACCTCCCTGAACCTCCCTGAACCTCCCTGAAGCCTGAACCACCCCTTCGACAAGGCACTGAAGGTAGGAACCCTTCTCGAGGACGTAGGAGCTGGTGCACTCATCCTTCGTCAAGTCCTTTGTAGGGTCTGCGGGTTCGGGTTTAGGGTTTAGGGTTTAGGGTTTCTGCCTAGGTCGACCCTTCAAACTTTCAACCTTCGCCCTCAAGTCCCGGAACCCCTCAACTTCGAGCCGGGGACCACTGGATTGCCCTTACCCTACCCATCCCTAAAACACAAAAGCCCCAAACCCGAAACCCCAAACCCTAAAAAACGCAAGATAGGCAAACCTAATGCTGCTATGTTCCCATCCTGGTTTAGACTCGGTTTGAGGAGGCTGCACAACGTCCGTTCCAAGTCAGTCGGGCCCCGGCCTTGCAATTCCGTCAAAACCCAAACAGGGTTTTAGGTTGTACTTGCGGGCTTGGGGGATTAGGGCTTATGGCCCTACACAGCGCAACTGGTTCAAGACTTTGTCTATCTCTTGGGCTCGGGATGGCATCAGCGTTGCAGGCTGGCAAAAGGCTTGTGAGGTTTCGGGTTTAGGGCCGAAGCTGAACAAAGGGCAGTTGAGGTTGGGCAGACTGGTTCTGGGGTCAAGGCAAGCCACATCGGAAATCCTCAACATTAAGCAGGATTTAGGGTTTAGGGTTTAGGGTATTTGGGGCTTTGGGGGTTTCAGGGTGTTGAATGTTTCCGCCGAGTCTCACTGCACAGCTTGCCTGTGGGCGCCAGGACGCCTCGGCACGCTGTGTACTCGACAGCTGCCCGAACAAATCCTGCAGATCCCAGACTGATCCTGAAACCCTGCGTCCGCCCCCTGCATCATCACATGGGCATTTTTCTAAGCTGCGGTCCCTTTTGGGATCCTTTTGAAGTCTTTTTGGGGTCTACAGAGCCCCATATGAAGGGTAGCCAAGGAGAAGAGGAGCACAATGCAAAAAACAGAAGGCCACATTGTCACATATGCGGGTATTTCCCAAAAACGGGGTACCCCTTTCTTTTCTCCCCCCCCCCAAACAGAATCGAATCCCCTTAAAGGGATAAACCCTAAACCCTATTCTCGGAAACACCCTTGTTAAGGGATATTGAGGGGCCACCAGCTCACACTTTTGAGGGGAAACCCCCAGATTCTGTGCTCCCCACCCTTGCACTCCGGAATCGAGACCTTGAGGCCATAGGCCTGAGGCGCGGGTGCAAGTTCGAGCTTGGTTTTGGGGTTTTAGGGTTTTAGGGTTTAGGGTTAGGGTTTAGGGTTTAGGGTTTAGGGTTTAGGGTTTGGGGTTTAGGGTTTAGGGTTTAGGGTTTAGGGTTTAGGGTTTAGGGTTTAGGGTTTAGGGTTTAGGGTTTAGGGTTTAGGGTTTAGGGTTTAGGGTTTAGGGTTTAGGGTTTAGGGGTGCCAGCGGATTTGGGAATTTACAAGAAGGGCCCCCCCTAACCCCCATGTAATTTCAGGCCCCAAAACTAAAGCCTCGGGGGCGGGTTCAAGAAGTTCAGGGCGCTCTGTGCAAGAACCCTGCGGGTTGTTGCAATATAGGGGCCTGAAAAATTAGAATACGGATTTGGGCGTTATTTTAGTATCATTACACAGGGACCATAAGGGAATACGATTAGTAGTTCTTCCGACCCCCAAAATTAGACGCCTCCGCAGAGTTCAGGGCATCGTTTGTTGCAAAATTCCGAGCTTCCTGCGCTGTGTGGCCCGAGCCCCCAGCCCGAAACCCCTTGACATGCAATCCCCTTGCTGATACTTGGAGGTTCACATAACCCCAGTTACAAGTCTACTTCTTCCCTACTTAGGGGACTTAGGGGGGCTTAGAACTACAGTTTTATTTGAGGTTGCAAGTACCCCGAACCTCCAAGTAGAGATAAACCCTACACCCTAAACCCGAAACCCTAAACCCTAAACCCCAAACCCTAAACCCCTAAACCCTAAACCCCTACACCCTAAACCCCTAACCCCTAAACCCCAAACCCTAAACCCTAAACCCTAAACCCTAAACCCCCAAACCCCTAAACCCTGCACCCCGTCAGGCCTGAACAAGGCAGGCCAATGCGGCCGCTGCCTTCATGACTGCAAACTTCATTCAAGGCCGAAGTCAACTGCTTGAGCCTGTGCTGCCACATAGTAGTACCTCCGCAAGTCCCTGCAAAGAATCTCAAACCCTGAAAACCCTAAATTTTACCCTAAAACCCGAAACCCTCAACTCAATGTACTGCGTCCGTAAAGCCCTGCAAAGATGCAAACCCTAAACCCTAAGACCTAAACCCAATGCACTGCAGAAACACCTCTGACCCTCAAAAGCCTCGGGGTCCGAACTACTCACAGGCGGCTTCAGCGAACCTTCCACCTCGCATGAAATGCCTTCTCCTTCAGCGGGTCAGGGCTGATGGTATGGGGCTTCCTGCCTTCAGGCTTTCTAGGGCATGGGGGTTTAGGGTGTAGGGTCTAGGGTCTAGGGTCTAGGGTTCAGGGTTTAGGGTTTAGGGTTTAGGGTTTAGGAGTAGGAGTCGATGGACAGTGGAGGAGAGGGGGCAACCCTAAACCATCTCAAGCCTCACGCTTTTGCACCAGGCAATTTGAGCACAGATCATAAAATCTCTGAAACGTACGAAGATGTATTGGGAGCACCGGCGTCTTGCTCACAGATTCCGCGCAAAGATGGCGGTTCCGGCATTGTGCTATCTCCTGCGAAGGTGTTGACCATGCAGACTGCAGATGACCCATCTGTTTGGATACCTGGGCCCTAGAAGGGTCCTTTTTTCAGCACCACCACCACCACCACCACCACCACCACCACCACCACCACCACCACCAGCACGACTTGGGATGTTCCCCCTTATACGACCCCCTATTATCATCCCTATTCAGGACTGTTCATTTCAGGGGGAACATCTAAACGCATTGCCATTGCAAAGACGCGCCCAAGCTATCTCCGGTGTGCAGCCATAGTCTTTATTCAAGGGGTTTAGAGTTTAGGGTTTAGGGTTTAGGGTTTAGGGTTTAGGGTTTAGGGTTTAGGGTTTAGGGGTTAGGGGTTAGGGGTTAGGGGTTAGGGGTTTAGGTGTTAGGGGTTTGGGTTTAGGGCAGACAGGCCTTGGATGAGAAACATCAGCCCATTGCCCAGACTGGCTAGGCTGACCCTCCATACTTTCGTTTCAGCCTATGAAGCGGTACAACCCTGTAACCCCAAACCCTAAACCCTAAACCCGAACCCTGATGAAACGGCACAACCCTGTAACCCCAAGCCCGAACCCCCCTAAACCCCTCAAGCCCTCTCCGCAGTAGCGGCGCCGGAGCCATCAGGTCACCGGATTTAAATGAACTCTCAGATCTGAGAAGATTTATGCCCACTTGCACGCTGCAGATGGGACTGGGAACAAACGAACAATCGGGGGTTTGCGAACATCAGGGGCTCAATATAGAAACCCCAAAGAGTAGGATTCCCTTCTAGTAGGGACCCCAATAAGGTACCCCCCAATTTCGGAAACCCCATATACAAAAAAAGCCGAGGTGAGAGAAACACCTGATCGTGCACACCCCCCGCTCCACGGAGGGTGACAGAAGAGGGGCCTCGCGAATCTTGCGGGCCAAGCAGCCTCACGGGGTTGGGCAGCCGATGGCCGATAATATCGCACGATACTCTTATCCCACGCTGGACTCTCAATTCCGGGGGGCCGAAATAGTCGATATCCCCTACATGCTAGGGTTTAGGGATTATTTCGGGCTTGGTGAATAAACCCTGAATTCCCTAAACCCTACTGTGACACACTACGATGGCAACTGGCTTGGACTCCTCAGGCCCCAATTTCTTCTCTCCACGGCAACCCACAAGCTGCCTGCAAACTCTGCTGACTTCGCCCGACGGGCTCGCTGTCTGTTGGCACAACAATAGCTGGTTTAGGGTTTAGGGTTTAGGGTTTAGGGTTTAGGGTCTAGGGTCTAGGGTTTAGGGTTTAGGGTGATAGAAGGATAGCTTCTTCCACAGCAATTTGCTGCATCTTCCCAGGCCACCAATCCAGGAAGGCCGATTCGGATCGTGACCCGGATCGTGACCGGAGAAGGAAAAGTGTAAGATTATTCTTAAATCCTTGAAACGACTGGTGAAAAGATAGCCAGTCATCTCTCAAAATTCTCCTGAGTCGCATTGAGAGTTCCTTCAAGCAAGGAAGGAAGCGAGTTTACTAAGTTTACCCACTAATTGACAAGGATTCCGCTGCGGTAGATGCCTGCAGCCAGTGCGACGGTGATGGACATGGCTCGCTGGAGCAGCCCAGCCGTCAGTTTTGTGTCCCAGAGAAAGCACCCACAATCCGTCATCGCGACAAAGTCTGCAAACTGGAGGAACTTCTCCATCATCTCCGGCCCAGGGTCGTAGATGGCTACGAAGGAAGGAAAACGAGCACACGCAGAGCTGGCGAGTGCTGCGGGGAGCAAAGTGGCCGTCAGCAATGCAAAGAAGAGCACGGCCGGAAGCATGGTCAAGGCAAACCCGTCACTGAGCACGTCAAAAGCCAGGGCGATCAATCCCGTGCCGACAGTTAGTGCCAGCACCACGATGCACACCTGCAAAGCATGCGACATGGAGCGCATGCAAGCGCCCAACTCTCTCCACTCACCTTGCACGACAGCAAGGTTAACGTCCTTTGCTCTGAAAGGGTCGGTGAACCTCGGCTCGGTTGAAAAACCGAAGCAAATACTACTGCTCTCCATCTCCCAGGCGCTAAATCCATAGTTGAAACCCTAGAAACCCTACAAACCCTATGATGCCCACAAACCCTAAAACCCCCATAAACCATATGCACCCTACAAGTTGTGGGGTTTAGGGCATGAACCCTAAACCCTAAACCCTAAACCCCAAACCCTAAACCCTAAACAAAATTTGCTGAACACGCAAGGCAACCGCTGGACCCGCAGGCCCAGCCCACGCCACGTAGTTATGAGGACAAAGCCTCTTCAGGCTTTAGGGTTTAGGGTTTAGGGTTTAGGGTTTAGGGTTTAGGGTTTAGGTTTAGGGTTTAGGGTTTAGGGCTAGGGCTTGGGGCTTACTATGGAAATAGCAACAGCCGGAGCCTACTGCCGTGAGCACGGACGCGAAGGCCACAAAGCCGATCATGCAAGCCACTGAGGCCTGGTTTTTGAGAGCTTAAGGCTTTTTGGTTGAGGTTTAGGGTTTAGGGTTTAGGGTTTAGGGTTTAGGGTTTAGGGTTTAGGGTTTAGGGTTTAGGGTTTAGGGTTTAGGGTTTAGGGTTTAGGGTTTAGGGTTTAGGGTTTAGGGTTTGGGGGTGTCGGGTTTGGGGGTTTAGGGTTTGCGGTTGGGGGTTTAGGATTTAGTTTGTTGAGGCCGAACGTGAGGCTAACGGCCCTTAGGGTTTAGGGTTATGGCTTGAGAAGGGGTGTGTCAAACAGAAGCGAGAAGTGTAAGGGCATGGTCGCATGTCGATCGCGCAGAAAGCCGGGTATGTTGCCGGATACATGAACTTTGGCCAAAGCAGCCGACACCCAAAGAACCCTAAACCCTAAACCCTTTCAATGGGTGTGGCTGGCAAATTTTGTGGAGGAAACTCAGTTTAGGGTGTAGGGTTTAGGGTTTAGGGTTTAGGGTTTAGGGCCACCACCATAGCCAGAACTGTGGCCGACTCAGAATGAGAAGCGCTATTGGAAAGAGGTCCCCCCAAAAAGGCGACCATAACTGTATACGGAGGGACCCCTAGAAGCGACCCTTAATCTTCTTCCCCTGTATAACCCCTATATAAACCTTATCTAGTACCTAAGTAGCCCCTAAATCACCCAAAGGTCCCTGACCTCTTTTCGTCCCTTGAACTTAGAGACCTGCCCACACTGACAGCCCAGCCACCGGACAGATCTCGTGCAGCAGCAACGTGGATGCAACCCTCAGGGCGCAGATCAGGAACCACACCTTGGGCATCGCGCTGGGGCAGCTCGGGCGCTGTAGGCATGGAATTGTCTCGAAAGATGGGACTCTCGGACATGGCAACCCTAACACGAGACCCCAGCGAGGGCGTGAGAAAGGGTTCGAGGGGGGGCACTACTTCTTGTGCACCATGCTACGGCTCGGGGTTCAGGGATTTGCGAGTTTACACACTTGAAAGGATGCGGAGGGTTTACTGCCTAAGCCCTACAGCCCTAAACCCTAATCAAGACCCAGAATCCGCTGTGAGACCCACCAGATCTCTGCCAACAATCTCTTGCCACTCCTCCATGAGGTCGTTGTCCTTGAGCAGCGCGTACAAATATCGGCAAGATTCCCGCATACGTTCCTGGTCGCTTTCAAAGGCAACTGGCCGAGGAGAAGGCTGTAGGTTGGAGTTTGCTGTTGCCAGATCTGGAGCTACATAGTTCACGCCTGGCAGATACCAAGTGGCTACCTCTGGGGCTACATAATGCAGTAGCTTCGTTTGGCGGCATTCGCACTTGTAGCTTGTAGCGTACCACACATCAGGAAGATTTGGCAAAAGTAGATATAACTGGCTATATGTTGATGATACCTTGGGCTGGATCGCAAGCGTGGCAGCTCTGATAGACAAAAGCGCACCTTACCATACTTTACTGACGGCGCTTACTATGAAATGCAGCCTAGGAATCAGTCTCCTACTCCCCATTACTATGATAAGAATCAACGTGAAGAAACGCCCTAGAAACCCTGCATGGAAGCTAAGGACGATATATTATTTAAGGATCACACATCCCCACCCCAATGTTCCCAGGCCACGAGTCAAGGGTTACAATTAGGCCTTCTGCCATCTTCAAGCATCAGTCTCTTGGGCAATACTTCTAGCATGAAATCCGTGTATTTACGGTTGCTCCTGGTTGAGACACGCTGAAAATACTGAAAACACCAGCTCATTGATCTACCTTCCCTGGCAAAGTCCCCCCCAATGCAAGTCACACCCTACACCCTCACAGTAAATCCTAAACCCCTCAACCCCAAACCCTAAACCACCTAAACCCTAAACCGTAAACTGGAGCGAGCCGCGGGCGCTGCGATAAGCAGCGGCGAGCGATACCGCGTGGCGACAGGCCCGCGGACGAGCCCGAGCCTTAGCCTGGCGACGGCTCGGGGCCGTTGCGCGCGGTGAGCGCGGCCCACACCTAGAAGGGTTTAACCCGCGTGCCAGCGTCAGTCTGGCTCCAAAGGTCCTGAGCCTTTCTGGGCTCCCCCCAGACCATTTCTGAGCCTTGACTCTTTTCGGACCATTTCTGAGCCTTTTGGGCTTCCCGGACCATTTCTGAGCCCCGGACCATTTCTGAACCTTTTTGGGCTCCTCCCGGACCATTTCTGAGCCGTTTTTGGCTCCGCCCGGACCATTTCTGAGCCCTAAGCCTTTTTGTTCTTTCGGACCATTTCTGGGCCTTTTTTGGGCCATTTCTGAGCTTTTTTGGGTTTACCCCACCATCTTATGTGGCCTCCTCCCGGACCATTTCTGAGCCTTTTTGGGCTCCTCCCGGACCATTTCTGAGCCTTTTTTGGGCTTCGCCCGGACCATTCTGATTTTTGAGCCTTTTTGGGTTCCTCCGGCTTCTCCCGGACCACTTCTGAGCCGTTTTGGGCTCTCCCGGACAATTGCTGAGCTTTTTGGTTTACCGCACCATCTCCGAGCAGTTTATGGACCATTTCTGAGTTTTTTTGGGCTTCTGCCGGACCATTTCTGAGCCTTTTTGGGCTCGTCCCCGACTTAGACCATGTTTTGGGCCCAAGCCCTCCCCAATCGTAGAGACAGCGCAGGACCAAAAACCAAAGGGAGCCCAAGGCATAAACCTCTGGGTCTTGTAAGCCCCGTATAAGCATCATAATTTGGGAAACACCGGGCAAAAAACCCTAAACCCGCCAAAATCTTGTAAGCAAGGTCCCAAGAGGTCCCAGGGGCCGAGGTTCCAGGGGGCCACCAGGAAATCCTTTCAGGAAGCCTCCTTCGGCCCGGCCTCCCAAACCCTCCCCAATCGTCTCCCAGGACCAAGGATCTTGTAAGCAGGGTTTCAGGAGGTCCCAGGACAGTCCTTCCAAAAGGTCTTCTAAAAGGCCTCCTTCGGCCAATCCCAGACCCTCCCCAATCGTAGAGAGGGCGCAGGACCAAAAACCAAAGGGAGCCCAAGGCATAAACCTATGGGTCTTGTAAGCCCGGCATAAGCATCATAATTTGGAAACACCGGGCAAAAAAAAACCCTAAACCCGCCAAAAAAAACTATGGATGTTGGGGGGACAAAGAGGCCTTCGCGGGGGGTACCCCAGGATTTGGTCAAACGCGGCCCGTAGCGCCCCCTCCCACTACTGTACTTACACACGATATTATAAAACCCTAAACCCGCCCAAGGTTGAGATGTGGGCGGGTGGGTTGGGAGAGTGCGTTGAACCTGGGCGCACACCACAGCACACGTCCCGCGTGGTGGTGTGCGCGGAACCTTAGCAAACCCTAAACCCTAAACCCTAAACCCTAAACCCTAAACGCCCTAAACCACCTGAAGCATCCTGCCCCCCTGCCACACTCAACTCCAACAAGACTCCGTTCGCCGTGCATACACGCTGGGCTTCACACCTCCCAACACAGATTGGTGCGTTTCCGGGTTTCGGGTTTAGGGTAGTTGGAGTTTAGGTTTAGGGTTTAGGGTTTAGGGTTTAGGGTTTAGGGTTTAGGGTTTAGGGTTTAGGGTTTAGGGTTTAGGGTTTAGGGTTTAGGGTTTAGGGTTTAGGGTTTAGGGTTTAGGGTTTAGGGTTTAGGGTTTAGGGTTTAGGGTTTAGGGTTTAGGGTTTAGGGTTAGGGTTTAGGGTTTAGGGTTTGAGGTTCCAGTTTTAGGGTCTAGGGTAAATAGGGCAATCTGGGGTTTCCTTCTTGGGGACCTATTTTTTTTAAGGGAATCCTATTATTTCGGGGGGTCCATGTTAGGGCTCCCTTAGTGTTGCAGACGCCTATTTCGGAAAATCTAACCCCAAACCTGAAAATTAACCCTGAACCGTTGGCCATCAACACTACAAAACCCCAAACAACCTGGGGTCCTAAACCCTAAACCCTAAACCCCAAAAAACTCTCCGGGGTTTTGAGTTTAGGGCTTCGGGTTGAAAATCAAGCTGCAACCCCTGGATCAACCCGAGACCCCATTAACTACCAAAGCCCTGAACCCTGAAACCCCAAACCCCCCCGAAACCCGAAACCCCTGAACCCTAAACCCTTAACCCCTAAGACCTCCCCAAACCCCACACCCTGCACCCCCTAAATGACCCAAAAACCCCAAACACTCAACTTCCCACTAAGCCCAACAAAGCCCAGACTGACGGCTTGGAGAGCCTCCGAGAAAGGTCAGGCACAGTGGAGCGGCAAGGCCAATAACCTTGCACTGCGGGGATTTTTAGGGTTTTTTTTAGGGCAGTTGAAGGTCATTTTAGGGCCTCAGGGTCATCTAAGGTAGTATTTAGGGTACTGTAGGGTAGTTTAAGGAATATTTGGAAAAACTAGGGTCCATGTCGGGTCGCTTGAGCTGGTTTAGGGTCAAGTCGGGTGTGTTAAGCATTTGGGGTAGGGAAATTTGGGATCCTTAAGGGCAATTTTGGGGCATTGTAGGGTAACTACGTGGAGGTTCAGATTCATGGTACTTCAAAGCTGTACTTGTAACCCACTAGTCAGCCCCATAAGTGCCCGAATATGGTTAGGCCGAATATGGTTATGGTTTGGGTTATAAGCACAGTTCCACTTGGTGAAAAAGCACCATGAACCTTCCTACTTAGGGAGCACTTACGGAGCAAAACGGCAAGCCCTACAGCCCTAAACCCCCAAGAGAAAGTCGTGAAAAAGCCCCTCCAGGATCCTCCAGCATCCTGTCTCCTCTCGCCCCCCTTCACCCAAGCACGGCAAGGGACAATGTCCGTTGTGAACGAGGCCTTGCTGGTCAAATCGCAAAAAGGCCCCGCTTCCACCAATTCCACCAAGCTGATGAAGCGGAGAAGGCCTCCCAGGGCTTCGTGGAGGCCCTAGGGCCCTAGGGCTTTGGGGGCAACGATGGGAGCCCGATACTACCAACAGCAGACCTTGTGGGGAAGCCACAAGTTAACAGGGTTTAGGGTTTAGGGTTTAGGGTTTAGGGTTTAGGGTTTTAGAGACCACGATATTGTTACTTCACGTCTGCGATCACGGAGCCCATCCAAACTGCGTACATTGCGAGGATGCCGGTGACGGCCACGTGCAAAAAGTGCCTGCATCGCCTTGGACTGGTTGGGGTTTAAGGGTTAGGGTTTAGGGTTTAGAGTTTGGGGTTTAGGGTTTAGGGTTTAGGGTTTAGGGTTTAGGGTTTAGGGTTTAGGGTTTAGGGTTTAGGGTTTAGGGTTTAGGTTGACAGCTTGGGCTTCAAAACCGTGAGTCAGACCTATGTCCGTCTAGGAATACAGAAAGATCTAAAATGAAATACGTTCTGCTAGGACCTATTGAAGCACAATAAGGTGCCCCTTGGCCTTCTACTTTCTCGCCTGCGGGGCTGGACACAACCATGATACCGGCAAGCTGTGTCTTTAAGGGTGGGGGGCTCATAGGGGGTAGGTACCTAGGGAACCTTAAGGGAGATTAGGGAGCCTTCGGGAGAAGTGGAAACGTAAGCACCTTTCGAGGGCTTGGGTCTTTAACGTTTTCTGCGCGCCTTCCTACCCAGACCACCCTCGTCCTAAAACCTCAACGCCCGAAATGCTAAAGCCCCAAGTTCCTACCGAGGCACTGCCCTGCTTCCGTTCGGGGAGGGTCCCACAAGGCGGACGCGCCGCAGAGCGACAGCAGCCCCCTCCTTGGATGTCTTCCGTTTCGCGGTCTCAGAGTGCAGACTTCCCATCCACCAGTACTAGCCATGCTACCGGGGTCACGTGTTCCATGTGGCTACGAAGCCGTGGAAGAACATCAGCCGAACAAAAAAAGAGTCCCGTATTTTATCATGTCATACATGATTTCAGATGGTTTACAATTTATAATTTACATTTTTTTCATGAAAAGAACAACATCAGGCAGAAATCGGCATACATGAATCCCAGGTTCCAGAGCTTGAAACAGCAGCGGCCAGAATGGGCGCCCGGGCCCCGGAGCAGCGAGGGGTGGTCACCGAAGGCATGGTTGGACTGCTGCGCCGCCTGCTGGGCCACCACCTCCTTCACGGATAAGGTCCCGGCCCTTGAGCCGGGGCTGCTCTTCCTGGCCATAACTTCCGGCTCACCTTCCGGCAGCACCTTCATGGTGGCCGTCTGCTTTCGGGGAGCCCTAACAACAGGAGGCGCCTGGGAGTCCATGAGAAGCCGATTGCCTTCCTCGGCTCGCATGCTTCTGCCGGAGCCGTTGGTACCAGCGCGCGGCTGGACAGGTGGAGACGAGCAAGGCGGCTTCCACGTTGAGAACCTCGGACTCTGACAAATCTCCCAACCAACCGAAACAAGCTGTGTCCTCTTGGCTTCACATGAGGGAATGAAGGCACCCAAGTGGGGAAGGCCAGCACAGGGGAACGGAAGCACCTGCAAAGAAAAGGCATTACGAAACCCCAAAGCCGGACAAGGAAACCTTCCGCCACTGCTGTGGGACGCAGAAAGCGTGTCCAGGAGCCGCACACGGTCTTCCACAAGCAGCTGCAACATCGCAGTCATCCTGCCGTACGTTCTCGATCATTCTCGTATACTATAGGATCTGCCAGAGCATACAATACTATACCAAAGTAACTATAGATCACCTTAAGCCCGAAAAGCAGTTGATACCGCAGTCCTGCTTTTCGATGCCACTTTGAAGTTGCTCCGCTGCTCAATCGCACGGATGCGGCGCTCAACGTCGCAGATGCCCGGCTCGTCCACGAGTTCGGCACCACTCATCGAAGGAGGGGGATCTTCGCCCTCCTCCTCCACGAAAACATGTCGAGCAACTGATGGTGGAGACGAGCTCTCGCATTTCATCTTCGGCTCGCGCATGGTTGCGAGGCGCTCAAAGACGAGCAATGCAGATAACCCAAGCTAAGCCTACAAGTCGAATGCTATTTTGGCCATTGCACTTTGCGGGAACTTCACTCGGAACAATCTCTGCCATGCTCGAGCCAGAAGTCTGCAGGTGGAGCTTTTGTACGGTGCCTACGGCAAGTGGGTAGGCGCTGCAAGCGGCATGCTCCATGCAAAGCACGCAGCTTTTTGCATCGATCTACGAGGGTACATTCGGCTCAGTCAAACGTCGCATGGACGTCCTGGGCAGTCTCGCTGGCCTCAGAGACCAACACGATGCGGAAGCGCTCCTGGTTCCAGTTGGCTGGTAGGTCCTGTGGTGCCATGTGGGAGCTGCTGTCTACGGCATGAGACGTCATACGAATCATGCGGTTGTGTTCCGTGCTGTGCAAGGCAAACTCGCCGAATCCTGCAGGCACCACAGTGAAGCGTTCCCATAACCACCCGCTCGGATAAGGAGTCGGAGGCATAGGAGGGCTGGCCCCCATCGTAGGACCCCTCATCTGCACATACCGGTTCAGGTGAGCGTTGTGCAACGCGATCTGGCCATTCCCGGCATCGACCACGGTGAAGCGCTCCAGGATCCAGTTGGCAGGCAGGTCATTGAGGCCCCTCTCCGCGCTGCGTTCGAGGGACTCCCCCTTCATCGTGAGGAAGCGGTTGTGCACACCACAATGCAAGGCGACCATTGAGCCAGGCTGCAGGTAGGGCCTTGCGGGTACAAGTTGGAAACGTTCCCAGGTCCAGGCACCCGGCATGTCCTGCGGGTTCATGTGCGGACTGGCCGTCACCTTGTCATTCGTCATCTGAAAGACGCGGTTGTGCACGGAGTTGTGAAGCATAAACTGGCCGTGCCCCGCCGGCAACACCGTGAAGCGTTCCCAGGTCCATGAAGCAGGAAGAGCATCGGGAGGCATTGGCGCACTAGCTTGCATTCGGTCGGGGGTCATCTTCAGAAATCCTAGCTTGGCCGCAGAAACCCTCTGAAAAGGAAAGCAGGCAAACAGAAGATATCCCACGGATAACATGTTTGAAAACCACGGTTTGCAAACAGATAAAGTTTTCAAAAAACCCTCAACCCTTAACCCTAAACCCTAAACCCTAAACCCTAAACCCTAAACCCTAAACCCTAAACCTTTTGAAACAGCTAGTATCTGTTGTGGAGGCTGTTGTGGAAGGCAACCTGCCCATTGCCCGCATCCACCACGGTGAATCGCTCCCAAGTCCAGTCATCTGGGATACCCTTGTCCTGGGCGCGTATTCAGGAACTTACGTCAAGTTCCCAGAATAAGGAAACCAGATCATGTACCGGAATCTATACATATGTATAATGTATAATGTGATATAATTTAATAGAATATAGTCTAATATCATATGATAGAATAGAATAGAAATGAATAGAATAGAATAAAATAGAATAGAATAAAATAGAATAGAATAGAAGATACTATATATATATATATATACATATAACCTTACGTTAGTTCCCTACAACAAGGGCCCCAGCGTCACCCATGGGGTCGCTGCGGTCGATGGTGCCTCGGAGTGCTCGTTCTCGTTCAGCCGCCTCGCCTTTTTGATCTTGCTGGTGGCTACTAGGGAATGGGGGAACGGATTGCTACAGTAGTCCCTAGACCCTAAACCCGCTCTTAACCCTAAACCCTAAACCCTAAACCCATAGAATCCTCAAGAATGCTCCCAAAAACCGACCCCCCCCCCCCCCCACTAACCACCAACAAGTCGCGAGCCAGCCGTTCCTGCTCAGCTCGCTCCGCAGCTTGCCGCTGAAGTTCCTCCCTGTGTCTCCGCTCTGCCTCCTCACGGTCCTGTTCGGGTTTGGGGTTTAGGGTTTAGGGTTTAGGGTTTAGGGTTTAGGGTTGAGGGTTGAGGGTTGAGGGTTGAGGGTTGAGGGTTTAGGGTTTAGGGTTTAGGGTTCAGGGGTCCTCTTCAATCTTCCGCCGGATGATACTGGGAAGAGGGATGCTGATCTTCGGCATCGTGCCGATGCTCCATCCTCCGGGAGGCCATCCTCCGCCTCCGTCGCTGGCGGTGTGGTTCTCCCTGGCCAGCAGGAAAGTGCTGGGAGCCCCTGGGCGCATCCGAAGGTAGCGGCCGTGAATTGCACAACGGAGGGCCACCGTGGTGCCCGGCTGAAGATACGGCTTCATCTGCACCACCCGAAAGCGCTCCCAAGTCCAGCTGTCGGGCAAGTGCTTTGGATCCACGTCTTGGCTCACATCAACGGTGTGATCTGACATGCGCAGCACCCTGTTTTGGGCCCGATTGTGAAGGACGATCTCACCGTTCCCAGCCGGCCACACGTCGAACTTCTCCCAGCCCCAGTTGCCAGGAAGTTGATCCACCAACCTGTGACCACTTGCCTTACCCATCGATACGAAGCGATTGTGTAAGGTGTTGTGCAAGGCTATCTGCCCGCCTCCCGCATCAACCACGGTGAAGCGCTCCTGCGTCCACCAGTCGGGCAGTTCTGCCGAGCCGAGTTCATGACTTCGCTCCAAGTGTTCTCCCGTCATCATCACGAAACGGTTGAAGAGCCCGTTGTGCAAGGCTATCGAGGTACCTGGCACCAAGATCCGCTCTGCTGGCACGATGCGGAAGCGTTCCCAGCCCCAGTTCGATGGTAGCTTTGGAGGGTTTGGCGGACGGTTGCTTCCCACCCCAGTGGCCGCCATGTTCAGGAAGCGCTGGCTGTGCGGGTTGTAGAAGGCCACCTCGCCATTCCCGACCTCGATCACCGTGAAGCGCTCCGAAGTCCAGTCATGAGGAAGATCATTCCTAGTTCATGGCTGGGATAACATTAAAGTCTTAATTGGCTTTTCCTCATTGGGTTTAAGCACCCTTAAAAACACAGAATGGAACCCAACTAGGACAAAGACTCGCATTCCGAGGCGAACTGGCGTGGCCTGTGCCCAGGAAGCGGTTGTGCTGAGCATTGTGGAGCGCAATCTGCCCGCGCCCGGCATCTATCACAGTGAAGCGTTCCCAGGTCCATGAGTCCGGCATCCCGTTGCCATTCATCTCTGGTCCGACCCCCAGGCCATGTCCGGTCACTTGGAGGAAGCGCCGGCAGTGAGGGCTGTAAATGGCAATGACCGAGCCTGGCCTCAGGGGCATTCCCCGTACCCTGCCCACGTCCTGGATGGTGAAGTCCCGGAGAGCGGCGATGGCCTTGGTTTTACTGCGCTTCGACACGAAGGGTAGGCCCGCGAGAATTGTGGAGAACTGGTCGCCGAGGTTGACCAAAGGTATCCTCCGCGCAGGACTCTTGTAAGGGCCGAAGCCCATCTCCACACCCATCTCTAGCCAGTTGCCATTCATGAGGCCTTGTACCCTGAAGTTCGTCAGCCCTGGGTGATTGAAGGTGAAAATCTCGAAGACCCGCTCCCCCTCTTTTCCGGCTGTGTTCATGTGCCTGGCCGCCTCTTCGCCATAGGCCTCGAAGGTCTTGTTGACAGACGTGTTCAAGTTCTCGCCGTAGTCAACGGATGCCAGGTACAGGTCCTCCGAGTCCGTCCTCCACTCGAGAACCTCGGCCTCCTCCCTTTCCGCCTCCGCCTCCGCCTCCGCTTCCTTGACACTTTGGTTGCCGCCCGTCTGCAAGAGCGACGTGCGGCTCATCGCTTCGACCGGCACTATGCTCTCCCCTTGGGCTATGCCTGCACTGCTCCGCCAGGTCGAGTAGCCACCGCGGACGTTCCCGGGAAGGAAATCCGTGCCGCCACCGAAACGCTTGCTCAGGCGCAAGGTGCGGCTGAAGAGAAGGATGCCGGCAGACTTCACTTCGGATCGCAGCACGCTCAGGTCCACACCCCCCGGCTGCTGGTTCGGCCAGCAGACCGTCGTGGCCAGCTGGAAGAGGGGCTGCGGCAGGACATCGAACTGCAAGCCCCCAACGAAGGCCACGACTGGCTGCAGTCCCAGACTGAAGGTCACAGTCACGCACTTCTCGATGGGCTTGGTTCCGCTGTAGAACGTATAGCCTTGCCATTTGTTCCAGTTGTCTTTCATCCAGGCATTGTCACATGGCACAGCCCAAGGCTCGAGCTTGAGGAAGTCGTCCTTATTGCCAACCTGCCAGTCGGTTTTGCTCACACCATCGCCCTGGCGGCTCTTCGGGGCGAAGGCCAAGCAAGAGCTGGTGTCCGTCTCCCGACCGCCGAACTGGGTGATGAGCCGCGTGGCATGGACATCGTTGCTATTGCCCATCCCGAAGGTGATGGAGCCATCGGATTTGGGTTTTGCAGCCACGCCTGCTTGCGCGTGCTGCGTGTGTGACTCGATGATCAGGTTGGTGCTTTTGTGGTGAAGCACAGGCGGCTCTCCAGCTTCGGGAAACTTGGCGGTTGCAGCCACCTGCACCAGGGAAGGACCTTTGTCCATTGCCTTCTTCACGACCGTCGTGGCTATCTTGGCAAAGACCTCGATGACCTCGCGCGTGCGACCCGAAACTGGTGTAAATCCGTTGAGCTCGTTTTCTGCCGTAACCCCCCACGCCCGACCGGCCCCGTGTTTGGGGGCAGCGGGGAGTCGGGCACGCTGACAGCCAAGAATTGGGGCAAGGGAGCAAGGGACCTGTGGGAAACCGAAGAAGGGTGTCGCAAGTGCTGGCATGGAAACGTGCCCGGCGACCAAGACTACCAGCGCAAGCCAAGTAGACAAAGAACACTTGGAATATACCATATCATACAGGTTGTTGTGTTGTTCTCGAGTGATAGTTTTGAGATGGCAATTAGCATCCCTGACATCATGTCGTGTCCAGGAGCAACCCCTTGCCAACGAAGCCTTGGCTTGCGAGACCGAGGGAGTGACACAGCGGCATTCGGGTGTGAACCTTATGTATTCTGCATCTCAAGCTGTATATCCCAGCAAGGCTGACGGGTCACCCCTCTTTACAGTCCCAGTAGAATAGATCACTCGAAGAGGCTGGAGAACACGCTTGCTCATGGAACTTTTCGGGTGTGCTCTTTTGCCTTGTGGTATCGGAAATTGGTATTTGAGCTTGCTCAGTTGTAGCTCCCACAAACGACGCCCATGCGCTTATGTACGCGCCACCTGCTACTCAGATTTGCCGAGTCATGTGACTGACACGATATCGGCTTTGCATTCTCATGATCATCCCATCATCCGTATCAGGCTTCCCGGTAAACCCCTTGGAAAGCCCGCAGCGTGGGCAGCTTTCGGAGAAGCGACTTCTTCTGGGCCCCTCGAGGATGTGCGAGGGACAACAAATGTGTCTTGATCCCTCTTATAGACAGTGTGAAGGGAGAGCGGATGTTGGAGTGGCCAACAGCTGTGAAGGAATTTGCGGATGAGCTGTTTCGAGCGCAGTACCTCTCAGACTCAACGACCGACAGCCAAAATCGAGTTTATAGGCCAGGCCCTGCCAGCAAAGCACGCACCCTCGCTGAGTTAGCCCCCTACGGGGTCTTGCGGCGACCCCTGTCGAGATGCGAAGCGTACATCCACATCTGCGTCATTGTGGCCGAGGTGGGGCAGCGGCTTAGCGATAAATCTATCCCACATGGCGCTTTCAGCCCGAGTCGTCCCGAAACCTGAGCGCGCCTCCGTGAGGATGTCGCTCATGCGGTTCAAGTAGTTCAGGGGGGGGACCCTCTCGATGATCTTGGCCCCCAGACACTCGATAATTCCCGAAGGCTGGTCGCCATTGATGCAGCCGGTGAGGCCGGTGGCAAAGGTGATCTGCGTGTTGATCACTGCGACAGGTGCTTGAGCAAGGGCTCGGACCTGCAGGGGCAGCATGTCCAGGACGTTCACTCCCTTCCTTCCCCAGTGCCAGTTGAAAAGCGTGATGCTCTGGCCCATAAGCCGGACTGTGCAGGTGTTGTGGCCAAAGTCGATGTAGAGCTCGTTGCCGCTGACGCCCATTTGCGGAGCGACATTGGTGCAGCTAGCGCTCCAATCGTTGAAGCCTTCCGTATGCTCAGGAATGTTCAGGGCTTGCCACCAAACCTGCAGCATGCCTCGTGTCGCCCAATCCCAAGCATCCCGAAACCTCAAACCCTCGACCTTCGAGCTGCCCCAAAAGTGCCCCATAACCCCCAGCCCCGCCTCCCGTCAGGATCGCCACGGCCATCTCCACAGTGTTAATTGCGGTGTTCTTCACAAACTCGACGGCGTTCCCGGCGTCCTTGGCTGCTTTGTAGGCGTTGGTCAGAGCTTCGCCCGTGAGCAGGCTCCCATCCGTCACTTGACCTCCGGTGGCGTCCCATCCGCTCTTGGCCGCCTTTACGAGCCCACCCCACTTCGAGCCCTTCTTCTCCTTCTCGCGTTTTTGGAGCAAGGCCCTCTTTTCTCCAGAGCCGCCTGGCCCCAAGGCCTCCTTCTTGTGCGCCTCTTTCAGCTCATCCTTCTCCTTCAGCTCAGGCTCCTTCTCTTCGGCCGCCTGCTGCTTGTGGCTGTCCGGGTGGTACTCCTTTTTCTCCCGCTGGTGAGCGTGCTTCTGGATCACTCGCTTCAATACGGCATGCGCTTCCCGCACACTCTCTTCGGAACCCTTCGGCTTCTGCGCCAATCCAACCTCGCTGTCGCTGAGGCCCAGTTTCGTCATGCACTTCTCAATCATCGAACGTTGCGCGTCGAGCTCAACCTGCTGCAACTCCGCCAACGTCTCAAGCTGGGCGACTTTGAGCATCAAGAACTCCAAGCTCTTGCCCAGCTCGCCCATGCCTTCGCCTTCCTTCTCCGGATCAGGCAATTGGTTCAAGTCCTCAAAAAGCTGGTCGGGGTTTCAGGTTTAGGGTGGCGGACCGTTAGGGTTAAGTGCTAAGCCGGAGAAAATCCAGCTGGACGGTGTGGTTTGAGAGATTCTCAGAGGGGCAACATTTGGCAAGGGCAAGTCCTCCATTTCGCCAAGTATACTGTCGGAAACAATGTCGGTCAGGTTCTCATCCGCGCCCGACATGTTGAGAGGGATGTTTTTCGAAAGCTTGTAGGCCCAACCCACCTTCGAGTTCGAGGCTCAGGGCGGTTCAGGGTGTCGGGGTTTGAGTTTTGGGCGTCCGAACAACCACCGAAACGCGACTTCGGGCCAAGGAGCATGCAGAACGATGCCACAAAGTAATGATAACACGCGCATGGCTTCGCACCGATGGTGCATTTTGCTTCATTGAAACGTAAGCTGTGGCTTGAGAAAGAGCACAGGGCAGCAAAGAAAAAGGCCACGTCACACACCAACAAGCCATAAAACCATGATGTACCTGATTGCACCTACTGCCCCCACCATTCTTACGTATTGCTCGCACTGCTGCCATCGCATTGCCATTCTCGCGAGAAGTACTACTGTCAGTCTACATTCAACATCCATGCCCTAGAATTCTGCGCGTGCTGCCCATCACAACAAGTAGCTTTACCGAGCGTCGGTTGGCCATGTCATCGCCAATCATGCCGCGGCAACTTGCACCGTATCCCCTTTTCGACAGCTGCTCATTCCATTCTCCCGCGGCAGGCTGCGCAAAATATCCTTCGTAAACTCTGGCCTACCCAGAAGCTGAAAGGCATTTAGGATCTTACGGAGCCCGAAGCTCTAGGTATTGTCAAGACCTGAAAGAGTTGCGGTCCATGACTGCCACCTTGGGATCGGTGTTCCCTACTTGGAGGTTCAGGGTACTTATAACCCGTTATAACTGTTCTTACAAGACCCCTAAGTCCCCTAAGCATATAGGTTATAAGTAGATTTGTAATTGTGGTTATAAGTACCCATGAACCTCCAAGTACTGCCCGGCGGATAAAAGACACAATACTATCACTACAGGGATCTAGTTTTGGCCAACCACTCCTTTGCGATTGACTTGTGACTGGCATTTTTGTCAACTCACTTACAACTATAAAGTGTAACACAACATAGCTCCTGCTCAAAAGGGGTCAAAAATTTCTCACCGGCGTTTTTGCTTGCTGACTTGTGGCATTTTCGTACTCACAAGTGAATCTGGATTTTGGGGACAACAGGGGGGTGGAAAGGCGGCGGCAGGATGGAGGGGGGATGATAGCGACTCAACAACACGGAGAGGGGAACGGACAACGTGCGAACGACAACGCACTATGTACATGCACACCACACCTACTCCTCAATTCAAATCATCACCACAACATGCTAACAAGGCACACGGCGAACCCAGACCGAAGATCCGGCGGCACCACCACAAAAATGGGCTTGAATTTAGCCTTCCTGTGTACAGTACATGACTTTCCTTGGAACTTGTCTCAAAGGACCTGCCAAGTATCACGATTTCGGAGACCCTTGATAGCCGTGCGCCCTGCGGCCAGTGCTTTCGCTTCTGCTGCCTCCGTGGGCCCCAGTGGGCTACATTCGGGTTCCCTCTTGACCTCCCACTTGGACACTGCCTCTAGACTCCAAACAACCTCTTCATCCTTCCGAAACCTTGCCTTGCTCTTGTCGAGCATCGTCTTCACTTCTTTTGGCATAAATTTTGGCATAGCCTTTTCTTTTCCTTTGGCTTGGGACAATGCCGAGCTCTTTCTTTTTTTCTCCTGTCTTCTCTTCATCACGCTCCCTTACCTTGTTCGTCTCCCTTCCTCGATCTCAGGAACTTCTTCCTCTTGCTTCCTAAACCCTAAACCCTCAACCCTCAACCCTCAACCCTAAACCTTAGACCCTAAACCCTGATGCCCTTTTATCATTGCCAGTCGCTGCCTCACTTCGCACTTCTTTTCGTTCATGGAGATTTACGCGCATGGACAATTGTATCACAGTAAAACAAACGTGAGTGAACACATGAACCGTTCTACTTTGACAACAACAGCCAAGCCATGTGCTACTGTGTGAAGGTTGCATGTTGCGGCAAAGCCGAAGCCTCACCACCCAGCTGGCGAGGTTGTTTTGCACTGGTGGAAACAAAATCGAAAGCATAGCTGCTGCAAGCTGAAGCTAGGTTGAGATTTCCAACCCCCAATACAGACTACCAGTGCAAGCGAAACCTCGCGAAAGTACAAGAGTCTTCAGACCACACCCTCTGCTGCCCTTCAAACTTCAGAGCAACTCGCTTCAGATCTTCAAACAACTTGCTGTTGCCACAACAAGCAATGGATCGGAACTACGCAGCAAAAGCTTCTTGGATCTTTAATCTACACCATCATCTTGGGAGTGGTGACGGGCTTTCTATCTCTTGCTGAGGTATTCCGGGTTCGCAATCTTAGACTTACAGCCGGCCTACACACAGATTCGTTCATCTGGGCCATACCTGGTCTGAGCTGGGTTGGCCTGTCCCAAACTTCTTGTTCAAATTTTCTTTCAATTTTAAATCAAACGCAAAAACTTTTTTTCAGACTAGGTTTCTTTTTGAATGATTTTTTGTACACGTTATTTTTTTTTGAGTCTGATCAGTTTCGATTGATTTAGACTTCGCAAAAATCGTCATCTTGGCAAACCCGTCCTCAAGTGGGCACTGTATTTCCAAGATCGTTCACAACCGATCCAGTTCCAAACAAACCCCTGTGCGGCCTTCAGAGTGCCTCACAAGCTTCTAAACCAACTCTTTCCAGTGCTCGGAAATTTCAATTTCTTTGAAAAGCTCAAACTTTTTTTTGGAAACAAGGTTTTCCAACACAAGATCCTCGTTGGATCCTCGATTCAACAAGCATGGCATTCAAGCTTTTAAACCACCCCAAACCCTTTCTCCTCAAGCAGTTTCGGTCACCAGCGGCCTGCACTTCCAAAACTTGGCCTGTGCCGAATGGTTGTCACCTCGGAAAAATTTCTCTCCGCAATGAGCCACGCCAAAACCTGCAGTTTTTGGACTCCTTATTTCTCTGGTACCTTTTCTCTGAGAGCACGAATCGGCTTGCTCACTCGTAAAAGACCGAAATGCGGCAAGCAACCCACAGCCCTACAAGACTCACACTCAAGCCCTGCACGCTTCTCACTTTTGCATGCTCGCATACTCCGGTCTTGAGCCAACGTACCAAACAACGTGAAACGCAGTCAAAACTGGTCAAACCTCACGGTGCTTCGGGAAAACACTGGAAAACACTCCCTAGGCTCTAAAAGCTGAGGCGACCTACTCTCTGCTCCGGGAAGACACTGGAAAACACTCCCTAAGCTCCAAAAGCTGAGGAGACCTACTCTCTACTCCACTTCGCAAGCGAGTCCTCTGGGAAAAAACTTAAAAGACGCTGGCAGCCCAAGGCCCACATAGAACCTTTGGTTTCTTACTCCCCCTCTGGGCATTGAGGCTGTCACGGCCCCGTCGAGGTGTAGGGGTAGCAAAGATGGCACTTGCGCTTGCCCGTAGGCTGACTGTTGCGAAGTGACGGACAGAAAGCATCCCTGCGGTAACACTGACCATGCCGGGCGACATAGATGTCCTTCGGCGGTGTACCCTTCAGCTCCCGGAGCTGTCTCACCACAAGGCGGTAGTAGGCATACGTAAGGAGGTGGCCAACAACCATCCGTGCAGCTAAGACGAAAAGACAAAGCAGCTGTGGCTCGAGTAGTTCGTTACCCAACCGCTGGAAGAGGACCACAGCATAGTCCATGGCCTCTGAAAACCCTGGTGTAAGCGAGACCCGAGGTAAACTCATGGTCTTGGCGTTCCACCCTAAACCCTTGGCTCAGAAAAGCAAAACGGCTGCAGAGCAGACACGACCTTTACAAGCTGCTCAAAACAACCCTACACATAGCTTCAGGATAATGTTGCGTCTCTTTGAGAACAAAGACCTTGGAATGCGGATGCGCATGGTCGCATTTCAGCCCTTCAAGACCCTCGGCAACCCCTGCATGCGTAGTCACCACTCTCCAACGCTTCGACACAAGTTACCCGTCATTTCCTCTCAGCCCCGCAGCACAAGCGTCCACACGACAGTCGTACAAGGTCGCTCGCGAGGTTCGGAGAAAGCTCTGGGTCTGACCCCAGGACCAGTAAGCGCAGCGGGCTGGCCACTCGATGGCCCAGCCGTGTGTGTACTTCGTCAGGCTGACAAAGTTACTCCACAGACGCTTGTGGCAGTCCCACAGGCCGTTTAAATGACCCTTGTAGGCGGAACCCTGTTTCTGGAGATGCATCCGCTGATACGGGCACCCCCCCGTGCATGGGGTCGAGGACCATAAGAAGACGCAGACCCCGCGTTCCAAGGCGGATGCGATAACACCCTTGATCGCAGTGACCGTCTCCGGTCTCCTCCCGTCATCCCTCTCGGTAACGGTAAGGACACCAAACATTCGGAAACTCCTCTTTCGCAACCCGGTGCATGTTGGAGTCGAGAACTCGATCAGAAGCCACTTGTGGCCCTTCTTAAGCCCTACCCTCTCAGCCAAGGATACCCACTCCCCTTTCGACACAACACCCTTCAGAAGACCCACAGCACACGCAGACCCTTTTCTCAGCTGGACTTCCCAAGCTGGCCATGTGGCGAAGTGTAGTGGGACCATCTAAACTCTTTGTGAAGATGTCGGCGGGATTGTCCTTGCCTCTGACGGGCTTGACCACAATGGATTCCGACTGAACTTCATGCTGAATGAAGCACGCCCTCAGATCGATGTGTCTCAGCTTCCTCAGCCCCTCCATCTTAGAGATGTTTATCGCGGCCTCACTGTCGCAATAAACGGTGGGCACATACTGACTCTCAGGCTGGAGGCCAGTTACGTGTCCTACCGAACATCTGAGACCCATCGATTCCCTCGCCCCTTCAGTCAGTGCGTATAACTCGGATTCTGCGGAAGAGAGAGCTACAGACTGCTGGAGTCGGGCCCACGATTTCACGCAGGCGGAACCCAGCATGACGCAGCCTCCGGAGATCGATCTGCGCGAAACCGACCGCTCCGAACCCCAAGATGCGTCCACGAATACCCTGATTCGCAGGTCTTGATCTCTCTGACGTGGAAAGATTTGGAAGAAACTTGAGACCGTTTTGAAGTACCTCAGAGTGCCCCGGATGGCTCTCTCGTGATACTCCCTGGGGTCTGCCTGGCCGCGTGCCAGCACGCTGATGAATACACAAGATCTCCGCGTGTCGTCGCCAGCCAGGACATTTTCCCCAGCGCCCTGCGGAAACGTGCAGACGCCTCCTGGCTTAGAGGTCGGGACAACTCTTCACTTTCAAGCGCCCTGTCATACAGATCCCTGAGGTTCGGTGGATTCGGACACCCCTTTGCGCCCTTGAGGTTCTACTCTTCCATGACGTCATCAAGATATCCCGGATCCATTCCAAACTTCAACGAACTCTGTGGCTCCGATCTCAGGATCTTGCGCCATCTCATACATCAAGTCACAGCAGAATGTCGTCGACATAGGCCAACAGAAGCACCCTTTTGCCTCGGTACTGACCCGCGAACAAACAGGGTTCAGTTGGGCAAGACTTGAGCGAGAACAGACGCTCCAGAAGCCCCGAAAGGTGCTTGGTCCAGTGAAGAGCGGCGGACCTAAGGCCGTGTAGTGCCTTTTGAGGCGGAGATACAGCCTCTCACCCCCCAAACCCCGGCATCTTTCAGGCATGCTGACGACGACATCTTCCCCTTGGAGCTTTGCGAAGAGGAAAGCAGTGGACACGTCAAGTCCCAGCATGTTGTGCCCCTTTGCTCCTGCCATTGCAAGGAACACTCGTAAGCTTTCCGCAGACGCGGTCGGTGAGGAGATCCCCAGCTGAGCTGCGGTTGGGCCCGTGCTGTAATCCCTCGCCACAATTCTTGTAAAACACACGCACTTTTACTTCGAGAGCCAAAACCCTGGTATCGAGCGTAAAGCTTCAGAGCAAAACCTACATGGAAAACAAGGGGTAAATGGGTAGTTGAAATACTTGCACCCCTCCTCGAGACAGCTTGAGTTCCACACTCATGCTCAGTCTCGCCCCAAAAGACTCCACTGTGATGCATACCGAAAATCACATTGATTTCCTGTTGCTTTGCAACCTTGTATGTTCATCACCCACTTGAAACACCGAAAGACATGTTGATAGGTTACACTGTACATCTCAACTGCTCTGGGTCCCTTCTGGCGGGGAATCTTGCTTTTGGTTCTAGTCCCAGAGTCGCTTACGTTGAACAACAAGGTGCCACACATGCACATCTTTGGGTGCTTTCTTCTTCTAGACGCATGGCACTTTACGGAGAAAAGAGCTTTGGCTTCTACTTAAACTGCGCTGATGCACTTTGCACCACAAAAGCGACTTGTTCTGCAGGAGAAACGAACTGACAGCTACTCCTATCACGGGCTCATGGATTGTACAGGAAAACAAGCCACATGTCAAGGATGCTACCTCTCATGTCTAAGCACTTTCATCACTCGTCACATCGCCGGTGTCGTGAAGCTCGGGCATTGGCATCACCAGCCAATCGTTGAACACATCCCAATGACTGGCACAGCACACTCTGCACGGAGCCAATCCTCTTGCCAGAGCATCATGAAGAGGAACGCGCTGACAGCTGCTCGTTGCCTGTCGAAGTCCATGACAGGTCGGGCGGCTGTGGTAGCACTCGCCATTCTGAGAGAACACGGCAACTTCTTGTCGCGTTTCGGGATCGAAGATATGTGGGTTGTGCGACACCGATCGCA